TCAGTTTAGAACCCAGTCACTCAGTCCAGAACTCAGTTGTCTCAGTTCAGAACCCAGATAATCAGTCCAGAACTCAGCTGTCTCAGTCCAGAACCGAGACAGGTCCCCAACTGAGGTACAACAGATATACTATCCGTTTTGGCAAGTCCCTACATGAGAAAATGGCGAGTTCTAGCGATCCAGTATCTAAAATTGTAAATTTCCCTGTTACAAAATAAGCAGACTTCTGGTCAAGCTTCTGAGCGTATGACACTTTTTCATAATTTTCGAACTTATATCATCTAATAGTAACAATAATGTGTACCGGAAGGTTAGAAAGTCACCATCAACGTCTGTTTTACAAGCCGCCGCTCCTGTTTGAAAAATCTTGTTCGAAAAGTGTTGTTCGCAAGTGGAAACGATGTATAATATTAATATTAAGCGTTTGATGAGAAAACTCATAAACGTGTAGCTATTTATTATTATATTACGAGGGTAAAAGTCTACAGTTCCAAAAATGAGTATCAATTGTCCTGCATGTAATTTAATCACAAGCTCAAGCGCTATTCATTAAATTAGCTGCAGGAATCAATCAAACATGCATAAAAATTTCCTCAAATGGGTTTGTTAATCGATAGACATATCAGCTGATTTAAGTTTGAAATGCTGATCATGACCAAATAAAGTGCTGCTGTGTATGTGCCGTGATTTTCTAATAACAAGTGGTCCCGTTCATTAATGGCTCTTACTGACGTTTGAAATAAAAATTCAAAGAAGAATACATGCAGTAATAAATACCAATAAAATATCTTATTATCTCTCCTATGATAGTCATTTGATATTCTAACCTAAAAGCAAATCAAAACAACATATTCATATACTAAAAATTTGTTTAATAGCATTAGCTCTTTAGTAAAACAGCAGTGCAAAAAAAAAATAATAAATAAACAGCTAATGGTATGAAAACATAAAAAAATTTGTACTAGCACTAATATAAACATAGAAAAATTGAGTGATAGAGTGAGTGCACTGGAACTCAGCTCCACTTAACAGAACTCATATTTAGATGCAAATTCGACCTAGATCCTTTGCCAATGCTGTTGCTCCTGCATCTCCTATTTGATTACTCTGCAGGTTTAGAGATGTTAAAGAAGAATTTGATTCCAGAGCTTTTGCCAATGTTGTTGCTCCTGCATCTCCTATTTGATTACTCTGCAAGTTTAGAGATGTTAAAGAAGAATTTAATTCCAGAGCTTTTGCCAATGCTGTTGCTCCTGCATCTCCTATTTGATTATGATCTAAATTTAAAGATGTCAAAGAAGAATTTGATTCCAGAACTTTTGCCAATGCTGTTGCACCCACATCTCCAATTTATTCCCACTTAAAATTAGACATGTTATAGAAGAATTTGATTCCAGAGCCTTGTTCAAAATAGATGTTGCTTTGATATGTGTAATCTCATTATAAGCTGAATTTAAAGAAGATAATGAAAATTTTGATTCTAGAGCTTTTGCTAAAACTGTTGCTTCTGTGTTTCCAATCTGACATTCACTCAGATCTGATGTGTAGGTTGATGGTGGAGTGATCAACAATCTGAGTAATGTATTTACTGTTTCACTTGATGGTCATCTATTAGGGTCATTATCCTAATCCCAGCATTTGGAATATAGATCAATAAATTGTTCAGAGGTTCCAAGAAATGGAGGATCACGAGAACCATTCAATCTGTATAGCAAAATTCCATAATTTGTGGTAATCCCTTGACAAGGAAGTTTCCCACTTGAAATCTCCCAAAGTATCACTCCAAGGCTAAATATGTCTGATTTCTTCCCATGTTTATAAGATTCATCTTTAAAACATAATGGGTCAATGTATGCCATATTTCCTTCATGTTTTGATGTAGACATAATCTGTTTAAGAGTATTAGACAATCCAAAGTCTGTTATTTTTGCAGTGCCTTCTTGGAGAAGGATATTTGTTGATGACTAATTCCAGCAAATATAATGGTAAATTTGTTATTAGTATTAGTATGAAATTTGTAAGCATTAAAGTATGAACTCGTTATATATTTCATTATACATCCCATGAATTAAAACCTATACCAACACATACCAAGTCTTTGTGAACTATGTCGAGTTTATGCAAGTACCATAACCCATCACTAATCCCCAAAGCCAGCTTGTATTTGTCTTCCCATGTCAGCTTAGGGAAATATTCTGCAAGTGTTCAAACAGAGTTCCACCGTCTGCATATTCAAACACCATGTGATAGGGGCCAGATAAATCTGTTCAAGTTTGTAAATTATAAGCCATAATCATTGTGTACAGAAAAACAGTACGTTAAAATATGCCCCTCGACATATTCCCAAGAACCGGATAACGTTTGGATGATCATCCACTTGTTTGTGAGTTCTCAGCTATCATATTACAATTCAATTATACACTTTTTAACGCTACACAACAATTAGATGACAAGTAATACCAACCTCTTTGACAAATTGTTTATGTAATTCATCTTCACACCCATATCGATTTAGGAACAAAGTTTTCATAGCGACTAATTTTCCAGACTGCTTTATCTTCGCTTTGTATACGACACCATATCCACCATGACCGAGAAGTGTACGATCTAAGATGTCGTCTTCCGAATAATGTTTGATAAATCCTTCCTGGATACTCTTAACTAACCATTCTTTATATGTGTTGTTAGACAATTGATCTTGGGACATGATGCATTTTTTGAGGGAAGAATCGAATCGCTAATTGATGATTGAAGTGTACCAATAACATTCATGCATATCAACTGTAACACGTAAAAGGCGAAAGGTTTATTCGTTCTGCGAGCATCCCGTGGGTAAGGTTCAACTGTAACACGTAGTGATTGCTCGACACACAGTCGCACACCCGATATCCAGTCACGGCGTCGGGATAACGGAAATTGAGTAAGGTATGAATATCGGGTTCCCTTTATATTAGTCACTCAAAAGGTTTGTTACTAAATTATGTGAATGCAGTTCTTATTACATTATTAGTTAATTCACCTACAGTAGATATGGACCATAATAGCATATTATTGCTTAATTTTATTATTAAACGAGTAAGTTGTCATCAATTATCATCGTTTCACATAATTATCAGTGGCCATTACGCGTGAAATAGAAAACCCCTACGGTACATAAATTCGTCATTTATTGCTAATGGCATCACGATGAATTAAAGCGAGAATAAAGATAGCAAGTAAAATGCCAGTTTGAACTACGCCACCAAAGAGTCCGAAGAATCTGTAGATTATATGACCCCTTCTCGAAGCCCATGCTAGCGAATATACCCAAAATAGACCAAATCCCAAGTATATCCAACTAAGAATTTCGACCGCGGTACTTGAATTATTAGCCAGACTATTGAAAGTCAAAACGGAGAGCAGACCCAACAACAGTTGGGTAAAATTTTTGTGGATTATTTTAAATTGCTTTCTTATCTGCCGAGATAAAAAATGCGAAGTTAGTCTTATGTGGGAGTAGGATATATCAATATAACCAATACAAATGTATACTAACCCGAAAACGTTTGCTTGTAGACGCTTCATTACCGTCTTTATTATCTTTGTCTTTATCATCGTCGGTTGAGTATGAGAAATAGAGTCGCAACAACCTGAGTATAAAACGTTAGTACCAAAATAATTGAAAATTCTTTGATTGTTTACAAGTAACTTACCACGTAACAGCCCATGATATCCAAAGACTAGAGAAAGCATTCCAGCCAGACACGGTTTCGATAAACTCGTCAAAGCTTGCAGTCGTGTCATTAACAACACGTGAACTAATCGCAATTACTGACGACATGGGTGATATTAATATTGATGTAGTTGTCAAGGGTATGATGGAAAGTAGGGAAGAACGTTCGACTTGCGTATTTATCTGACAAGTATACACGCACATGACGGAGCAGACAACTGGTACACAATTAGGTCATAGCTCGATTACTTATGAATAATGTCTTTGTCTTGAACGCAGTGTCACAATGTACAGAACTGATTAATAGTCCCATGATCCGTGATTCAGAGTCGTATTAAATTAATCTTTCCATCGTTTTACGTACCATATTAAGCATTATGTTAATTCAAACATTGTTCAAGATAATGCAATGCCCATCTGAAAATGGTGTTGTCTATCGCTTGTGGTTCACAAGAAATGCAAGTTGATAAAACAGATTGACTATTTTTGTGTTGATCGACGTGTTGATCACTTTCAAAGTACAGTCAACTCTCCCTAAATGCACGCCCTTGGGAATGAAAAGTTGAGAGCGTGCATTTAGGGAGTTTGTATTAGTAAATCACGTGATAGCAGAATATATGAAGCAAAACAATAACGATAACACAATAGTTAAATTTATTCATTAATTTTCATGTCATGTCATGTCATATTTAGTGGCGGTTCAATTAATTATTATAACTAACATGCATTTAAAATATGACCTGATGTTAGAAGGTACTAATGGTCTGATTAAATATCGGATGGCCTGATGTGAACAATCGGCACAATGCGGGTTTGGTAAAATCACGCCACATTTGGCAACTTAACATACTGCATCAGCCGGTTGAAAAACCAGTATTCTACCACTATGCTATTAATGCACAAGAGTCACGTGCATGCATTTACGAAGAATATTTTCATATTGAAATGAGGCCTTGGGATTATAAAATCAGTTGCTCATGCAGAATAGGGAGAGTGTGCATTTAGAGAGTGCATTTAGAGAGAGTTGACTATTACTGTTGCGCATGCCACTGTTTCAATAAAGTTTATTTCAATATTATTGAATAATGAATTTGGTCGATCGATGTTATGAAGAAGTGGATTTAATTTCTCATAGTTTGTTGGGCGGTGGACAATTGTGACGTATTGTTTATTTGAAATAATCGTTTTTTTTAGCGAAATAGCTACGGAAATATGGATTATTTTGTTGGGGCCAACTTACAGCAGCCTGTAAAGAATGATGATACCAATTGTTGTCATCGGATGAGCTATCCAAGTTTTCCTGAATAAAGTGTCAAAGTGGTAAGATTTTCGGAAAGTCCCATTGTTGCCTACAATAGAACGATACTCAGTATATGAGTTGGCATTTGCCGATCTTCCCAGACTGTAATCTTGTCGATGTACCAGGATGAGCGATGTCTTGTATTGAAATCGAT